TGCGAAATGTAAATGTGAGTTTCCCCGACACCGGGACAACTAAAACGTCTTTCGTGACATAGTTAAAACTGATATTTTACGTTTAATACCATTAAAAGTGCTTTATTTAAATATTTACAACGCTCTTTAAAAAATTTTTAAGAATATAAATAATATTAATTGCGTGTTAAAAAGTATACTAAACGAGCTACCTATAAATATATTATATAAGAGAAATAATTTGTTCCTTTTTTTTTATTAAATTGCGTCTTAAAATGTTTTCGACTTCAATAACATACGGTTTGCTAACTTATATAATCTGAACTTAATCATAATAAAAATCAGTACTATCCTAGTTTATGAGTTTTTGATATTACATTTGCGTTGATTGTATTTATTGTGTACTCGCCTAAACTACAGATAAACTACAATTCAATGTGCGATTTAAAAACACTTAAATGTATCCTATATTCAAAATAAACGGTTATCTCTTAGAGCTATCAAACGGGAACAAATATGTATTCTCGCAAAAGTTTTATAGTAATCTGCGAGCACTTAACAAAACTAGAAATACAGCATCACGAATGGTTTTAACCGATTCAAAAGCATAAAGCAATTAGTACAGAAAAATATTGGGTGTTTATCGAAGCGTCAAAATGAAAACAAAAAGCAATTAAAAGATGCTGATCGCTTGAATCCGTACAATTTCCAATAACGAGCGGACAACGCCACACTGCCCCACTTGCCCGATGTCCAGTGGATCTGTTTTAATCTGGAGTTTTAAAATGTAGACGTTTGATTGAATATTTGTAAATTAAACCATAGACTATAATAGTTTATGGTCTGGCAACTTCATGTATAGTCTATACTAAAATTCGGCGAACTTGTTTAAAAAATAATTTTAAAGAAGAAGAATATTCTACTTTTTTAATAGGTAAAACAACTTTATTCACATGCACGTTGGTGCCCTCTTGGATATTTTTTTTTAAATATACATACACTTTTAAATTATGTGTATAGTGTTTTATACCAGTGGAAAACAGTGCTATTATCACGCCTTGTCATTTATTTATTTTTTTTATTTATTAAAATTCGTACAACATTACAGTCATTAATTTAGGAAGAAGAAGAATATACGTACAACACATACACATACTCAGGTAATTTAAAATATTTGATAATATATGACTACCAAAAACCCTAAAAAAGGCAACCGAAGGCCCAGAAACCCAAGTTATGTTGGTAGGACCCAATCGCAATGACATAAAAGTAATGACAGATATATATATATATCGATATATACACGTACCGTACCGTATATACATATGGGATGGTAGGTGGTTCTTGAATTAAACTGTAAAATATATTATCATTGCGTACTACACAGGTTGAAATTGATTTTTTAATAATATAACTTTTTTAAATATCTTCTTAAGTCCAACAGTCGCTTATCGTATAAATAAAACCCCAACATAATACAGAAATCTTCAAACCATTTTAATAAGTTTTCGTAAAATTATTTCTAACTTAAACTTAGTACACGAGTTGACATACAATCTCGAAACACTTGGAAAATGACATCTAGCATTTACGTCATACAAGATGGTTGATCTTGCGTCGCAGTGTATTGACCCCGACCAATGTTAATGTCAGCTGGTGGCCGCAAACGAATTATTGATAGATTTTACTATTACGTATACAGCCATTATACGTCAGACCGAGACACAATACACATAATACATTCGTTTTGTTTCTTGTTGTTGCTTCAGTATGTTCTTAACTTAAAGATAACATCAAAAGCGTTATATGAATTTATCCTACTAGAAACGTGTACATATTCTGCATCTCAGGGAAGTTAAATCAAACCCACGATCGGTTTAAAGAGATTTATAGCTAGCTTGATGTAGTTTTATTATAATTATGGCAAATATCAACTACTAATCAGTTTTTAAATAAAACACTTCGATATATATTAGTTAAAATTATTTTGACTACGGCCCGACGTTTCGGATGCTCTCCCTGTGACAAGGGCTGCTGCAAAGCAACGGAAACGTCGGGCCGTCGTTAAAATAATTTCCAAATCAGTTTTACTAATATATATCGCGTTTTTAACCGTTAAAGTGTTTTATTTAAATGTACTAGTCGCGTAAACTATAGACATCATTTATAAATAATTTTATTTTTTTGCTGATTTTAATTTATCATAACTGAAGGTGCAAAACCATTTTCATATACATGCGTGACCTACTTCTTTTGCTGAATAATGTTTATGAAAAAACACTAAGTAATTACAAATTTACGAAACAAAAAGCCATTATTTCAGTGTGTTATAAATACTCTACAATGTACACGGAGAAAACAGCTTACATTTGTATAAAGCTAGTGGTAACACCAGTGTTAGAATATAGGGTTGCCACACACCATTCGTAGATTAGATTAGATGATAACGAAATAAATAAACATACGACGTTACTAATTTACATTTAATACGATACTTTATGAATCTGGTGAATAGTAGTGACGGGGAATTTCTTTTCAGTTCTTCTCGTTTTCTCGGCTTTAATTTCAAAAATTAAAGCCGAGAAAACGAATTCGATTGGTTTATAAGTACACTTAAGTAAACATGGGCACATCAAGTCATGTTCGATCTGTACATACATATGAAATAAAAATCAATTTAATAACTAGATCTTATTTTAACCTTTTAAAAATAAAAATAGTTACAGAAACATAACTAAGTAAAAGTTAAGTGTTAGCTACTCATTTAATTTCTTATTTTAAAATAATCACTTTTTATTATTTTATTACAGGTTTTTATAACATTTTTATAAATATTTGAGTTTTTTTCGTATGTGACAACCCTATTAGTAGGAGAGAGGCTGAACGAAGCCCAGTGCAGTGAAGCGGACTGTATTATATTATGAATACAATGCAAGAGATGTCATATACTGTCTAGTAACGCGGATGAAAGTGAATACGTCCGTATTTTAATTATTCATGTGAATAGTGAATGCGGTATTATGCGCCATCTAGCGGGTATGAAGATTAAACTACAGGGAGTTGTCAGTAGAGCAATGTTTTGACTTTAATTATATTATTTTAATAGTCATCGGTTTTTTTTTGGGATTAAAGACAAACATAGCACGTAAATTCGTATCCGACAAACTGTAATACGAAAGTATCTAATTATTTAGTCATTTAACATTCAAATATTAAATTAATACAAAAAAATGATTAAATAACTTTTTAAAGTGAATCAACATATTGATAAGTGAGTAGTGACTCGAGAGTTAAAAAAGTTGTCTTAGTATGTCGTAAGCAAAAATGGTCTGGGTTTCGAAGCCCGAGTAAATATGATACATTCTTTCAGGTTTTACAGAAACTTTTCAAATACTTACTTTTATAAATAAAATGTTTACCGCCTCCGTAGCTTAATGGTTAAACGTGTTGTCTAGTATTGCGTTAATAGCGATAAGTCCTGGTATCGAATGCTGATTTTTTTCGCTCCGGCAGAGCACAGAAGTCTGATCAAATATTTGCTTGTAAAAAGACCCGTTCAGTCAAATAAGCAACCTTGAGATAAGATTTACATTTCTATTGTACCGCTGTGGGTCTTTGGGTGAATTGGGACCGTCAAAAATCCATTTATTGAGTGTCAAGACGAGATTTCACGGCTGAGAATGATGAATGAAGGAAGTCGTTACATCGACCACTGGTTACGATACAGAGCGCGCCATTGTCTATTTGGTTCATGTGCTAACTGGCAACACCTTCAACGAGACAATGATCAAGCAAGGAGGTTGCAAACCAAATTATGTCTTTATCATATATATTTATTTTTATTTATATAGTACATAAAGCAAAAATATGTCCTATATAAAGAATAATAAACCGTCACGCGTACCTTTTTTATTACTGAGCTTCCTTTTTTCACCGCAGTTGCTTAAAAGAGATATTTACTCTCTTATGTTTTGTCTCACCGTGGCCACGCAAAGCATTCGAAACATCGGGCCGAAGTTAAAAATCATTTTCAAATAACTTTAACTAATATATCGCGTTTTAAACCGTTAAAGTGTTTTATTTAAAAGTAGTTCTAGTTCCTTAATTTGTTTAGATAAGAGTAGAAGAAAGGCAGCCATTCCCTCATAAGAACATTACCGCTCATGAGCTCTAATAACCGACCTTCAAATGTTTCACTGTTAACGGTTTAAAATACAAATTATATGACGCTTTGGAATCTTTACAGAAGGCTTGGTCTTTTAGAATTGAGATTAAAGTTCAGGAAACTACTATCTACCATTTCGAATTAGCTAAATATATAAGACGTCATGCGTTACACTAGATTATTTTAATCGTTTATCCAATAAAAACTTAATTAAGGAAATCAAGTTGTGTATCGTTTAACTGTTATTAAATTTAATTTTATTATCTGTCAAGTAGCTGAATAGTAAATCGGATGCGTGACACACCTCTTCCTGTACAATGATCGAGTAAAATTATACATTTACGTACTTTGTATGCACGGTTTTGTTCCTGGCATAGGGTCTTACTTATGACAGAAGACATTCAAGATTTGGGTTCTCAAATCAATTAAGTTTGAACTGTATTAAAAGCAGTGGCAATCGTAAATTCATTTATTCAATTAAGTGAGTAAACTGACCTCTTACTCTGAGATTATAAGTTTTTAAAAAGGTTTAAATACGCTTACACATCCCCTAAGAAAGTAAAAACTACTACGGCAGCGCCATCTGTTCTGTCTGAGTTGGTATTTGGCGAAACTAGCCGAATCCTTGGAGAATCCGAAACGTCAGGCCGTAGTTAAAATAATTTTTAAATAAGTTTAATTAATCAAGTTTGCCTTATTAACCGTAAAAACAACTTGTTTAAATGGGTACTACTCTCAGAAACTACAGACAGTATTTTTGTTTATAAAATTATTTCTCGCTTCTAATCGTACAATTTCTCAATTCCAGGTCTCAGTATGAGGTGTCTGTGATCACATGAGGGCGTAATCGTCCACCATGACCTCCGAACGAGCAATCCCCCACTTGCGCGACATCTTCGGCTTGAACCAGCAATACGAAGCGAAGCAGACATACGACGAGCACGATGACAAAACAAAAAAGCCGCGCAAGAAGAAAGAAGACTATAGGACGTACACCAACGGTGACGTGAAGACGCTAGAACGACACCTCAGCATGAAAAAGACGATCAGGAAAAAGATCATGCGAGACCTGCAGCAGGCGTTCGTCGAAGACCCCAACGAGTTCAAAGTGGAGAACACGAGCCCGGAGAAACTGAAGGCAGAACTCAGCGCGGAGGCGGTCAAAATAGAGAAGAATGTGAAGAAGAACGACCCGACGTTCTTGGACATGTTGCGGGGTGACACCAGGGAAGAGACGAGGGAAGAACAACCGACTGCCGAGAAGTCCAGCTTCTGGCGGCGATTAACTATGAAGAACAAGAATAAGAGATAAACTGAGAATAACGCCGTGGCGACTCCGTCTTATGCTTTTAGATGGCAATTAGAAACATTCCTATTAACTTGAGGCATAATAATACTTCTGGAGCATAATATTTATATCAATTTTGACTTTTTTTACATACGAATAGTATTGTTTTAATAAAATTAATGTAAGGCAAAACGTGGCGACTAAGTACGTTAGCGTCACGAAGGTTTTAATATTACCTGGTTCAAATTATAAGGCTTCTAGGATCTTACTGTTTACTGTATATGGAATTCTATGTACTAAGCATTTTTTACTTTATGTATATGAACGCTTGATTATAATTTTGATCTGTGTAGATAAATTACTAGATCCTTTAGATATGCAAATTAAACGTTTATAAAATATTATCGAGGGAAAAATAAATTTTGTTTACCCTAAAACTTTATCGAGATCTCAAAGCGAAATTGGAAAACTGTATTATACGTAATGACTGTACTTATAAAAAGTACTTGCATTTATAGGATGTCATAATGCTACGAAAACTAATGAAAACTCAGCTTTTTGTAACTCTATTTTTTTTTCATTTGTATGGGTAACGATGACATAAATAATATGTAATTACGTACATATATAGGTAATAGAAACTTTTTATGCTATATCAGGTGATATAAAATGCTTTCAATAAATATGTGTTTATTAAAGGCATTTTCTATTTTTGCGTCTTTATATCTTTAACCTCGGTATAGATTTTGTCTTTTTCGAACTAATTTGTTTATAATTGAATATAAAAAGACAAAACATCACTAATAGCAAGATAAAGACCAATATAAATTTACAACTAATATGATCTATACATCAGTTTGTGCTAAAATCAGGTGCCTACGACACTGCCACTAAAATCTTATAATACGGTAGCTATTTTCCACTTTTATACTTGATTTTTAATGTAAATAGATTTTGTATATCTTGATCTCCGACGGCAAAACACGACTCGTAGCACTGCTTTATATTATATGTTACATTTACTATTTGGTAGTTAATTTTGGTGTATATTCTGACGTAAAAATCGATGCGTAAGGATGCGTTTTAGCTTTGGTCATATGTATAGTTCTAGGATTACCCGATAGAGGCGCTGCGAAATGATTAATTGACATAAGGCTTCGCTCCGATTCGATTGCTACAAATATTTTCGTTAAGTATGAAACGAAAACTTTGACTATCGATTTATAACGAAAGCGACAGTCGAGGAACTATCAAGATTTTAACCAAAAGCGGTGAAATAGCAAAATTTGCTCTAGTAATCCTGAATATACAATTTTGGCTACGATATTAAAGTCTAATCACACATCGTTTTTACATAAGAATTACACCAGTAGATGCATACTGCGACGCTTATACATAAGTTGTAAAATGATTTAATTTGGTGGGAACGGAGTTGTTTGACGAAATATCTTGGGCCATTGTTACTTATTATAAATGTCTCATTCTACATGTGATGTAACGTTAAGACTAGTTAATATTGTAAGTAATCGTATTTCGTAAGATGGACGTTAAAGCCTGATTCACGGAAGCCTTTTCAAACGTATCTACTTAATTGTGCAATTTTCACATAAACACCTTACCTGACAGAAGTCAGCCAGGCACCAATAACCACAAAGCACACGTTGGGGAGAGCCCATCCAGGCACCATTAAAAAAATTCAATCGTCTTTAAAGATCGTGTCACGAAGATGACGGTTATAGTGTATTTTTCAGTCGCAAAGTTTACATAGATTTATACTAAAACCACTTTGAGACACGGGATTATACATTAAACTAATGAACAACCTCAAATTCACTTAGTAATAACCATAATTTTATGATCAAATTAATACAAATCCTAAAAATGAATTAACGTAAATGGACAGATTAAAATTTATTTAGTTTGACATTAACATAAGGATGGGATGTAAACAAAGTCAACGACAATAGAAGTCCCACTCGTGCAGGATCGCTGAAAAGCCCTAGAAACAGGAAGCGTTAGAAAAACTTAAAAAAAGGTCGAGATAAAAATGATTTTGAATTTATGGACCACGAACAAACCTAACGTTTGATCAATATCCCTGTGTCATCAACTTCACTCTATAAAAGATTATATTGACATTTCGTCGATTTGAACTCGGCCATATTTGTTGAGGTCTTTTGCGAAGAAAAAATACACTATACTTATATAAAATCCTAAAACGTACATGTGGCTGTTTATACGACATGCCTTTTTGAAAAGTATGGCTGTCCTGTTATTAAACTCATTTAATGGTTTAAGTTAACTACCTATTATTTTAATTCTTGTATATTTGTCGTATGGCTTCACATTGCATGCATATATAAACATTTAAAAGAAATGATGTAAATATGTATCAAACATCGCTTAAGTAGCAAGAAATTTAAAAGAATAGAAAACAGGAGTGAATCAGGCTTTATTGTAAGGTAGAATCGTGGCAATTTCTTGTTGTGACAGTTTATTGTAATGCAATATTAAAATAATTTTACATATTTAAGTGTGGATTTTTATTTACAACCTTTTGTTATCCGTAAAATAGTCAGAAATTGCAGATAAAGGTTCATTGTTCTAGTCCGGTGTCGGTCAGTTTCTAGTTGCGATGAGCCCTGGACATGGTAGGTGATATTCCCTCTGCTCTTTAGGAGACACCTGAAGCAGTCCGCCCTCATTGGCACCACTAATTTAGTGGCGGTAGTTGTAAAAGCCCGCTTACGCCCACTGGAGCAACGTGATAAATGTAAGGTGTTATGCCTAAAAAAATATCTCTGTGTGAAAGAGACTTTCGAAAAATGAGTGTTACACTATGTTACGATAACGTAAACACACAATTAAAAAAGTTTTGTACATACAAAAAATTGTTTGTACAATACTTTGGATAGATTGTATGTACTGATTTTGATTAACAGTTAGGCTTTTTTGTGTCTTTCTTCTTTTTTGTCTACTATTGGTGTTTTACTATAATAAAAGTGCGTAGTCTTGGACAATTGACACATCGAGTAGATTTTTTTAAAATTCATTTGATGCGGCGTTAAATATTACAAATCGCTACGCTTTAATATAGACAAAATATACGCAATTATACCAATGAATTTACCTACATAAGAATAATGTAACAAGTCTAAGTAGAATGTCTACCATTTATCATGTCAAGTCCCATACCAACTTAGAGTACAGAAATGCTTTTGAGTGAACCATTTACCAACCTGTCGCCCTGTATTTCGCGCTTACCCAAAACAACAAAAGGAAAATGAAGGTATCTATCTAGCCACCTACCCAAAAGTTAGTAGTTCCTGGATAACGCCGTTTATCATTTCAATAGGTAGGTGCTTCTTATAGGTACCTAGCTACTTTGAATCAGTGTCTGTTAAAACTTCAAGTGTGATAAGAAGTGAACTAGGTAGAGTTATTCTGGTACCTATTGTATTTATCTTCTCACCAATTGCATCAAAATCAAAATGATCAGTTTAAAGTTACTCATATAAGCAAAATTACTTCCAATGACCATAATAATATAATTCATATTATGTACAGCCACTACAATCATACTAGAATCCCTCATATAGAAATGCTCCTTAGGTTATATTTTTCACAGTAAATGACCAGCCAGACCATCTCCTCCATTTTTTTTATACTTAGCACTTAGGGTGAATATCCAAATGGCGGGTAAATTCTTCAGATTGGCCTAGATACATTGCAATCATTTGGTATACAGGCTAATGTCACGATCGGTCACAAAGAACTAAAATGCATACCATATTTTGATTTTTAAGAGTTTGTAACGAGGTAGTTTAAATAAACAACTTGACCGATTAAAGACTTTAATTTTTATCCACTATGACCGTAACAGAGCTTTCGCTTTGATTAGTCCCACAATTAGAATGCCTAACCAAATGTCGTGCACGCGCTTTCGCGCGCTTTTTTTTACCGATACGTGAATGCACGATCTGTCATCTCGGGAGTGAACTATCTTTGTCACTACAGACTATATCACACCACAGACTGTATCACATCACAGACTATATCACAGTCTACGGCTCGGTTTGTGATTGGCTCTGTTTGCTAACATGATGGTTAGCGGCTGGCATAGCTGGGCATGGCGGGCATGGCTGGCTTGGCTGGCATGGCGGCATTGACTCGGCTTGTAGGGCTTAGCACAACATCTTAGGTAACGCGTTACAAGTTACAATATTCTTTTTATTAAACCCGCAATTAATTTACCTCCACTTTATATTCTTATAGCTATTACCCACGTCGTTCGCGTCCTTTCTTTCTTTCAAAGTTTATAAGAGACATACTGTCACATTTTTTTTTAAATCGAACCAGTAGTTTCGGAGATTAGCGCATTTAACAAACTCTTCAGCTTTATAATATTAGGATGTATTGTACTGTGAACTAGGTTCAGATTTAAATAAAACACTATCGGTTTAAAACGCGATATATTAGGTATAATATATCACGTTTTAAACCGTTAGTGTTTTATTTAAATGTGTACTACTCGCGTAAACTATAGACAGTATTTAGGTTCAGATTTTCAAAAGGTACTTAAAAGTACTGAGCAAGTAATAATACACCCGCCGTCCTGATATTTACCATTTATCTATGCTTTTAATTTATTTGCAACTCCATGGTCTTATACCTTGAAATTGCAATATGCCTTAAATTAAGAGTGGGTTGACGAATAAAACAACTGCAGTAGATTAAGAAAAGTTTATTTTACTTTGATTTGGTTGATTTTTTAACTCTACCACCGCTTCGCAAAGTGTACTTCTGTGGAGAAGAAGCGGCGCAAGAAACTCCACAGGAACCACTTTTCATTAATTTAAAATGTTTTACAATTCAAATTACAATGTCTGAATTATAGGTAGTCCTACCTATGTCATCGCCCGGTTAATATCTATTTAGTCAAGTAGTGCATGCTGCACATTATATATATGTATATCTACCTACACTTCGTTTATTATATCGCATTTGTTGTTAATTTCCTCATT